CTGATCCCTCTTTTTTCACATTCATTCAAATCAATCTTGTCCACCCCGACGCTGTAACTCGCCACGATTTGCAAATGCGGCAGTGCGTCAATCAGGTCCGAGTCAGCATTAAATGAAGCGTTGCCTACCACTGCGACGATTGAATCAGAGTTTTGTTCCAAAAACTGGGTTTTGGAATGCGACTCCCAGAATCTGAAGAGTGTGAAGCGCTTTTCGAGTTCTTGTTCGAGATAGGTTAAAAAGGGACAGGTCATTAGCACTCCCACGGCCTCCATTATTTTCTGCAGTAAATAACATCCGAGTTTCACAGGTATGTATTGAACTTCAAAACGACCATGGGTTCAGGTACACTTGGACAAATTGTTAGTCACACGTGACCTTTTTTGAAGGGATTGGAGTTGGCCTCGCGCAGTCCGACGATCAAGTTGGTTGGAAAAATAGTTATATGAGTGTGTGAGTACTTTAAACGTGAGCTTCCAATATCCAAAGGGGTCGGCTTTGGGAGAAATAAGTACAAGGTATGGTAGCAAAATTATAGTTTTGAGAATCTAAACTTGGATTATCTTTCACAATGACATTAAGTGTGAGTTTTTATATTTGGGCAAAACGAATGAAGGTCGTTGGATGACAATGTACGTGGTCTCATCCAAATGACTGACCTTTCTTTTCATAGATATCAATCAATCACAGCCTTAAATGTTAATACCATTTTTGTATCCATATGGCCTAGCTTGTAGCCTTAGATTTAACCAAATAGGTTGATGACGACAGTAGCTGTGAGTTGTGTTGTCAATCACATAATACAATATCTGTTTAAGATTTCTTCACCGCCTCATCCTGGGCCGACTCTTCCCATGGAGTCTGCGTGTAATGGGGTTAGTCCAACTTCTCTTCGTGGGGAAAGTGGGTCGTCTGCGCTTAAGGGTCGGTCCAGTTTCGCCTCATGTTAGTGTACATGGCGTATGACCGTCGAACCGTTTTCCACGTAGATGGTTGAGATCATGTGATGGTACTCGTAACAGATTCTGTCGAATCGAGAATGTTTTCAATTTTAGGCAATTTAACTAATTTTAAATTCTCGAATAATCTATATTCGAATTGGTTCTTTTATTGATTTTTTATTTTTCCAATCATATAGATCAATCTTGATTTTGATGATGTGTTTTTCCATATCAGAAGGAGAGGGGGGAGAGAGATTTTGTGCTTAAGATTGATTGTTTTTCAACTCAACTGTATGATAATATCAACACATTATTTACTAGTTTTATTGACTTCGTCCATATTAACAAATAATTTGAAATCTCTTCACTTCCCTAAAAACATATTCGAGTGAATTAGCCATGATTCGAAGAACTTCCGTCTCCTAATCCGTCACCATTGGACGACCAAAGACTCCACTAAAGCAACTGAAGTCATTAGTTTTTAATTCCTCGTTCGAACTAAATAAGTTACAAGGGCCCAAAAAGTAACATAAATTTGGCTGGTGCAGAAAATGCCATGGCAACAACATTTTTTAAGGACTCTCCGTTTGGAAAAAAGCTTGTGCCCAAATCGAACAGTAAGGGTGCGTTTGATTGCAA